GTGGCGACAACGAAGCCATCAAAGTCAGGGGCTCTACGAATACAATGGAGCAGTGTCGAGTGTATGCCGAAACTGCGAGATCTGAAGCGAAGGGTTGCTTACCGGTGCGGGTTCATAGGGTTCAGATGTTTGTTGTATCTGTAATTGCTTAGTACGGTTTAACTAGAGTTTACCTGTACCGTGAGAAACTTACCTTTTCAGGGTTTAAATGAAATGACCGGAAATCATGATATGTAAGCCTGAGCTTTTCGAGGTTCTGATAGGTCTTAGGGTTTGTGAACTTTTGGAGTACGAGGGTCTGTGGGTTTAAAATTTCTGGACACTCATTGGCACCTCTCAAAAGCCCAAACCCGAAAACCGTAAATTAAACAACAATATAGACGTTCTCAGAGAAGTACCTGTAATTATCAACTGAAAATCCGAAGCCGTTTAGAGCACTCTGTCGCTCCTGAGAAACGTCCAACCCCGTCAACCTTACCTGGAGATCCAAAAACCTACGGTTTAGGGTTTAGGGTTGAGGGTTTAGGGTTGAGGGTTTAGGGTTTAGGGTGTTATGAGTTGTTTTCTACAGCAGCTTTCATAACCTGCTTATTTGTAGGGTATGGGGCTACAGGCAAGTAAGCCTTTGCACTCCGAAACTCTGAGACCCCAAGCCCCGAAGCCTGTAATTTAACCCTTATCCCCGAACTTCCTAAACCCAGCCTGGGCTCTGACAAGCAGAGCATTTTAGTTATGTACAGTTCTTTACCATGATATCCTTATTATGTTCATACCATAATAAGATACCCTAAACCCTAAACCCTAAACCCTCAACCCTCAACCCTAAACCCTAAACCCTAAACCCTAGAGAGGCCGGAGCGGACCATGCGCTGCCTCGACGTGCTGAAGCCATCAAACTGGAGGTCACTGGGGAGCTTGCCCTAACCCTAGGCATCGAAGGACTCATATATTAAAGCTTTTGGGCCCAAAGACCTCATTATATAAGGCTTTTGGGCTATTTTGATGCCCAGGGTAAGGGTCCATGTACCCGAATAGGGCTCCTTAAGGGGGTTTAGGGTTTAGGGGTTTAGGGTTTAGGTGGATACTATAAGGGTTGGAGAAGGGTTTAGGGTTTAAGGGGTCCATGTACGCAAATAGTATATACTTTAGCCTTAAAGTATTCCCCATATGGGTACATTGGGCCCAAAGTATATACTAGGCCCTAGAGTAGGCCCTTATTCCCTTTTAGGGTTCAGGTCCCCTTATAAGTCCCTTTAAACCAAAAAGGGCGCCCTTTTTGTTCCTAGGTCACTCTTGGGTCTAGTATACTATTTGGGTACATGGACCCTTAGGGCCTTAGGGTTGCTGAAGTTATGCAGCCTTGTTATCTAGGACCCAGAGTAGGCCCTTATTCCCTTTTTTAGGGTTCAGGTTCCCTTATAAGCCTCTTTAAACCAAAAGGGCGTCCTTTTTAAGCCTGGGTTACTCTTGGGTCTAGTTATGATGGCTTTTTAGTCTTTAGGTTTTAGGGTCCTGCACTGGTTGTACAGCATTTCTTGTATGTCAGGTTTGTACAAGTTTTCAAAAGGATACCGATGTCTTGTGTTATTGAGGGAAGATTTACTTGAGGGTTTTTCTAAATTAAGTTTAGTTGTTGGGTCCCCAAAATAGTGCCAAAATAGTAGCATCCTTATAAAATGATCCCCAGAAGCGATCCGAATTTGGAGAATTACTCCGTACCGAGTCCACAAGCCCCGAAAATTGACACTGAGTTAAAAGGATATAGGATAGCAGTTCTGTAGGTTCGCGCTTGGCAGAGTATCTGGGTGGTGGTCAAAATTGGGGTCACTTTTCGGGGTCCTTAACATAATACTGCACCTAATATGTAAGGTACACAAAATAGGGACCCTAATTTTGACAACTACCCATATGATCATATGATCATTACTTACTTGGACCTTTGAAGCCGCTTACCAGGAAACGGAGCCCTGAAACTTGCAAGCCAGCGGGCCTGAAGAATTGTCATGGCTCCTGAGGGTTACCCTTGAAAGGACCCCATATGTGTGTATAGTTAATTGTGTGCATACATACATACATACATAGAATATGTATGTGAGTCAGTATGTGTATATATACATATAGATAGATAGATACACGCACATACATGTCAAGCTGTCCTTAGTACTTCTTGGCTTCCTGCAGGTCCCGGGCGCGAGTGCCTTAGAGGTCAGTTGGTCGTCGATCGCCCCGAAGGAGGCCTTGTGCGGCCTTGTGATCAACGGTCGATGGACGAAATCTAGGATGACCCAAACGGTCCAGGTAATAGTATATACAGTAGAAGCCAGAAAGTTGGAACATGGGTTTACGACGATTAGTGCTAGGATCCCCAATGCTTTACATTAGGGGCATGAGGATACTAATGTTCCAACTTTCTGGCTTCTACCATCGTCTATACTTTTGGGGGGCCAAATACCTACTAAGTACCCATAATCATGGTACTTGGACCCGTTGGGTTTGTTCAACAATCGATGGACGACATCCGGGATCAAGGGTTTTGGGTTTAGCATGTAGAGTTTCTGGTTTCGAGCATTATGGCTTAGGCCACAGAACGAAGTACTTACCCTGACCGGGATTTGTGACATAGGCCCTGATGATTCTGGACAGTGCTGGTTTTTGTCATTCAGCTGGTTCTGCTTGCAGCAAGCTGGGATTTAGGTGATGTTGACTAGTGTTAGGGGTTTCAGGGCTTTGTAGGCCTTGGGGGTTGGGGTTTTTAGTGCTTAGGATGGGGCTTATGTGTAACTTTGTGAACTGGTCTGCGCGCGGTGCCTATTCATATATGAGACAAGCTTGGATAATGTTCGGCGCTTAGTCTTCACTACGTTGTATGATTAGACGGCTTCAGAGCTCTTTAGCCATTCATGAAAGGTTTCATTAGGGACCCCTCTTGCACGCAGATGCTGTTCCCGAATCAGGTGTTGAATCAGGTGGTGTTGGAGTCTTTGGGTAGTCTCTTGGTATTTGGTTTTGCAATATGTACGCAGTACCCTGGACTCCGACTTACCTGCGCAGTCGGTTACTAAGACTGCTTGTGTGGCCAACAGAGGAACCCTCATAGTGCCCGAGCATAGTGCTCTAACATAGTGTGCGAGTTTCCGAAAATTAGGGGTACCTTGTTTTGGGGTCCTTATAATAATAAGGATCCTACTATTTAGGGTACTATTTTAGGGTCCCCTATTTTCGGAAACTCCCATGTTCTTTATGCTCCTACGTAAGAGGAGGGGGCCTTTGTCATTCTGTCGAGGTATTTACAGCGTTCTATAGTGGGGGGGTGCCTTTTCACAGGAAGCCCACCTAAATATCTAAAACTAAGGCCCATTATGAATACTCTCACTAAACCTCTTTCAAATATTCCGTAAGCACAAAAGTTGTGGTGTTTCTGGGCAATATGTAAGAGGGTACATAAAAATTAGGTGCCTTTAAATCCCAAAACCCTACCTTAACCCTGCAGGACCTACCTTTTTAGTTCCTCATTGTGATTTCTTTATATAAGTCCCAAAAAGGTAGGTTCTTCAGGGTTAAGGTAGACCCTAAATCTGCAACCCTACACTCGTCGCCAGTTGTTAACCCCAGGACCCTTTGAACCAGTTCTGGACAGGCGCTTGCCAGTCTATAGTTTTAGGGCACATACACCACACTCTCCTTCACTACCTGTAGGGGTTTTCGGTTTCTACTTGTGTGTTTCGGGTGGCTGCTTTCAGGGCTTAGACCCCTAAACCCTAAACCCCTAAACCCTATCGCCCACCTCCGTGGGTGGGCGGCGCTTAAGCTCTCAACCTCGATGGCGCAGAGCGACCCAATACGCTTGCCCATCACGACCACAGCAAATCAGCTGAGGGCGCCCCGCAACAAGGGAACCCCCCAGGAGGGGCCTGGAAGCTCCAGCGAGCAGAGTTCCATGCCGGTCCGGTCCTGCTTTGCGCCCTCCCTCCCTACCCTGCCCTGCCCTCCTGCCCTCTACCCTGCCCTGCTCTGCCCTCCCCTTGGTGCTGGTTTTGCTTACTAAACTCCGTTCATAAAATGTGCAATTTAATGGGGCCAGGTGCCAAAGTCGAGGTCATCTCCTTTCTTTTCGTGTGGCTGCTTTAAACCCTGCGGTTGAAGAAACAAAGAAAACCATAGAATGAGTTTAGGGGCTAAACCCTAAAAGGAATAGTTTTGGGTGGTTTTGGCCGCCTTAGACGCCGTGGGGTGGGAGAGTTAAGAACGAGCCATCCACAATCAGGCTCCAACAGCCAATCGTCAGAAGACGACGCACTCGAAATTCACTGTCGCGAGGTACTTCCGCTTGTGCGCCACTCTATGGCAAACCCTAAACCCTAAACCCTTAAACCCCTAAACCCTAAACCCCTAAACCCCTAAACCTGAAGCCTCCTGCCAGTCGCTGTGCTCTCCCTGCGCAGGGCGCACGCTTCTGCTTGACCCTCGATCGAGATGGACACCTCCCTGTAGCGAGGCTGAGGGCTCGTGCATTCCCCAGACCCCCAGGAGGATCTGGAAAGTAGATCCCCTAATTTTGGGGCCCTATACTACCAAGGGTACTTTATAGGAACCCCCATTAAGAAATCTACTTTTTGGATCCTCCAAAGGGGGTCTGGGTTCCCAAAGTACGCACCTTCAGCGGTACTATGAGGCTTCTTTGATTTGAAGGGTACTTTGTGGGTTCCCTGTGAGCTATGAGAGTCAAGTACCCATATAGTAAGTACCATGTATGGTTTCTATATTGGGAATTACTATCATGATTTGGGGAAGTATTCCCTAAACCCAAAAACCCTAACCCCTAAACCCTAAATCCTAAACCCTGAACCATGTTTCCCGTAACAGTGCCGAGGAGCCTGTGGGATAGGCTCGTTCAGGATGGTGGGTGTAGGGTTCTGTCCGCGTGCCCTTGGGAACGAACCGTGGTTTGTGCTTGCAGACGTGGCACAGGGGTTACCCTGGAACCACGTGGATTGATTCACATGGCCGCCGGCGCTGACGACCCGAACTTCAGCCGCGAGTTTGCTCTTGCGAGATCGTTGGTCGAAGACGATACCAAGCTCAAGCCATTCCGCGACGAAATTCTGCTTGCCACGACCCGAGTGGGCAGCAGGTTGGAATCCCCTCCGAAAATCTTCTTGAGCATCCAGGACATCCTGGACGACTTCAAAGTGGACGCGGAGACCGTGTGACCGGACAGGATCGAAGCACACCGGGACGAGGACGGTGTGTTGGTCCGGGGAGCCTTTAAAGTGACGAATTTAGTGTTTGGAGTTTCGGGCTTTAGAGACTTGGGCTTTCGGTGCATAGGGTTCAGAGTTTAGTGTATAAGGTCCGTGTTTCCGTAGACCTGCAATATTGCGTATATATTCGTTGCTTCTGGTGTTATCCACCGAAGTCGCTTTGGCTTGTCGTAGTAACTTGTGCAGTTAGCATAGATTCATCGGATGTGTTGCTGGTTCAGTGCATGTCGTCTTCACACTCTTTGTGCTCAGTCGTGTTGCAGCATTTATTGTATAACTTCTCCACATACTGTCATCTAGCATACGGCGGTAGCACGATGGCTCTGTATTGTCTCTGCTGCAGGTTAACAGAATACTTGTCCCACCTAGCCACATGCCGTGAAAACGTGTCAGGGAGTTGAGTTCCGGGTTTTGGCGTTAGATGAATCGACACACGAACCCCAGAGTCCCGACACCACCAAACTTCAGCCCTGAACAGGATCCTCATCTCTAGGAGCCACCATGGTGGGGTCCGGAAACTTTTGCAGAGAAGCCAGATTTGAGGGTCCCAAATTGTTGGCTCCTCTGGGTACGCCCGAACTGTGTGGGAATGTGTGCAGGGAATCTGGGCCACCACATCAGAGGCCGCGGAATGCCGTTGCCCCAGGTGAAGATGGCTTCAAGTTGGTTGTTTCCCTGTCAGGCTTTGTAAGACGGTGTTCAATGTTCTATGTTTTGAAAGCTTCCTGTAACAATGACCAGCGCTATTCTGTAGGGTTCCTGTTGTGATCACGACGCAACGTTCGTGTGCCCGACAACCCTGTTCTAAGCTTTAATGCCCCTGTATTCCATGGGTTCTCATGCTAAGGCCCAACTCTTGGGAGTCACTACTCAGCCTCGAGGCGTCTGAAACAATCCAGAGGCAACAGCCGGAGCAAAAAGGAAAACAATGTGAACAATCTAAAACCCTATAGACTATAGACTATAGACCTTAATGAATGGCCCTACATCAAACACCGTATCCTAGACCCTTAATGAATGGCCCTAGATCCTACACCGTACAATAGACCCTGGAAAACCGGTGATACGGGTGCTGCCACGGGTACCTCACGAGGTCTCGCTGGTCAGAGGCTCCAATATCCCTTGACTGAGGAATATACCTTACATCGCACGAGGGATCCTACTATAATCTAAGGCATATTCCTTAAGTAGGTAAGGGATATTGGAGTCCCCTAAACTCTAAGCCCTATAGACCCCTTATAGGAACCCTTAATGGAACTAAGTGAACCCTTATAGATCCCTTTTAATATTGGAGCTTCTGGCCGGGCCTGTTCCTAAGGCCGTCGTCTTCGGCAAATGGCTCTTTGCCACTTTGGACGACACTGACCCTGATCTTCGCGCCGCTTTGCCCAAATAGAAAAACGGTGTAGGGTTTAGGGTTTAGGGTTATTAGGGTTAAGGGTTTTAGTATAGGTAAGCGCCACTTTGCCCAAATAGGCAACACGGTGTAGGGTTTAGGCGTTTTAGGGTTTCGGGTTTCAGGGTATTTAGGGTTAAACTTATGTACCTACTTTTTGAATGGGGTTGCTTGGAAGGGGTCTATAAAGGCTAGTATAAGGGCTTTGGTAAGGATTTACCATAGGGGACCCTAGCCCCTAATTTCCTAAATCCCTAAATCACCAAATCCTAAACCCAGAAATCCCTAAACTACTAAACCCCTTATAAACCCTAAAGCCTAACCTCCCCAAACGCTAAACCCGCCAACTCGCGACAGCCGCCCGAGGAACCAGGGCAGCAGGAGGCGGAAACGGGGGGGGGATGCACAGAAACACAGGCAATACTATAGAAGCCGAAATAATCACCAATATGTTTCCTTAGGATTCCTCATTATAACTATAATATCAAGGAGCCCAAACCCTATTGTAATTATTAAGGCCCCTACATTAGGCATATCGGACCGCCTCCGCAGAGCGAGACCGTCTTCAATGATTTGTGTTGAAATGCTTATGGGGCCTCTGTTTGCCGTTCCCGTCGTTGCAAGGGTCTCTATACGGCGTTGGGGCTCACGCCACAAGTTTTGAAGAAGTAAGAAGGCTGTAAGCAGAGATCTAGGCCTAGGAAGACTATCTTCGCGAAGGATACTCAGAACCGCTATTTCTTTTATTGAGGCCTCCTATGTAACTTCGAGGATTACAGTGAGTTGGAAAATTGGTTCTACACGGCTTCTGTAAAGCGGCTTCATAGGGGTTCCATAACAGTTCAGAGTCTACTGCGCTGTTCTGAAGTAGCTTGGGATGTGCAGGGCTCGTATCCTAAACCCTACTGTAACTAATAAGTATACACGAAACCTTGCTAAACCCTCAACCCTGAAAGTGCACCTCGCATCGCGAGCCTGCGCGCTTCCACCAGCTGACCCGCAATTTTCCCGTAACCAGTAAGCCCGAATTCTCCGTGCCCTTACGGATTCCTGAACGGCTTCCGTTAAAGTCGTTCTATATAAAGGTACCATAATGATATGGGGTTTAAGGCTCCCTGTGCCCATACAGTACATACTGAGGCCTTAAAGTGTTCACCTGTAGGTAGTTTAGGGGCTAAGTGTGTGTGTGTGTGTGTGTATATATATATAGGCTATATAGTATACACTTAGCCCTTAAACTACCTACAGTATATAGGAACAGTTTAAGGCCTCATATAAGTACAGTCCGCACTAAAAGAAGATTTCGGGCTGCTCGTATTGAAGGACACAGGCCGCTGAGCCCCAAGATAGACTTCGGGATCCTACACTGGTTTAGGGTTTAGGGTTCGGGGTTTGGGGTTCAGGGTTTAGGGTTTAGGGTTTGGGGTTTAGGGTTCGGGGTTTAGGGTTTAGGGTTCTCCACCCGAAGCCCTAAACCAAGCCCTTCATCTCGTAACCCCAAGGATTTTACCCCTATGTCTGAAAGACATCCTACATTCTTAGATTTTAATCCCTAAGTTCAAAACAACCGACAGTGCCTGTATGCCCCTACAGACGGTTTGGATTGTAGGATCTACCTGTCTAGACGGACCGAATAAACATAGACCCTACCAGCCCAAATCCCCAAAGCAAAGCAAGAGCTTCAAAGAAAAACAACATCTGTCCGCTCCTAAAGTGTTCAAAACCCCATGAAACCTTATGAAACCCCGTAACCAGCTGGAGGACCCAAACCCTCAAAACCCAAAGCGGTGGCCTTGCGCGGGCCAGGCTTGGCTTCTTCTCTCTCCCGGATGGGAGTTAGTCCAGAACCAGGCGTCTGATAGGTTTCCATGATGTTTTTTTTGTTAAATAGGTTTAGGGTTTAGGGGTTTTAAGGTGTAGGGTTTAGGGTTTAGGGGTTTAGGGGTTTTAGGGTGTAAGGGTAAGGGGACATGCTTGAAAGAACTTCTTGAGCTAATAGGGAGTATCGGCCGTCAATCCGGCGATTATGCGTTGATAGATGGTGTAGCAAAAGGGCTTTTTTCTGCATGGGCTATTTTTTGTTGAAATGGTTCTGAAGGTGTAGAGCTCAGGGGTCTTCGGCACGGAGTGCAGGATTTTGGGGTGGTACCAGTTGGAGGGCTTTCTCGGAGTCTTCGATAGCCCTCTAGCTGATGTTTGTTTCTAGTGCGCTTGCATGGAATGTGTATTGGGATTCGATGTGGTGTTCATACAGCCTTGTATGGTTCCTGTGCAGTAGGGTACATGTTCTCGTTGGATTGGTTCCGAGTGGTTGTAGAAGGTCTTATCAGCAGCCAGGGTGAAGACATGGGTGAGGCATGCACCCCAAACCCTCCACCCTTAATTAATTAAACCCTAAACCCTTGAACCCTAAACCCTCAATTCTAAACCCCTCAACCCCTCAACCAACCAACCCTTATAAACCCTAAACCGCTCAACCCTAAACCCTAAACCAACGCCGCTGGACACCCCCAGAAGGAGAGGCTGAAGTTGCGCCCAGACTCCCCGAATCTTCCGCAAGAAATCCCAAGCGCTAAACTCTAACCCCGCCTAAACCCATTCCCACCTTCCCGACTGGGATCTTCAGAGTGCGAGGTGGAAAAGAAGCGCTTGAAAAAAGCCTAAACCCTTATCTTTAACTCTTAACCCCAAAACCTTACATCCCCCTTAAATCCCCTTAAACCCACTTAAAACCCTCAAAACCCCTCAACCCAAACGAAGCCCAACACCCCAGAGCCCCTGGAGCCCTACAGTACTACAGCTGCAGTTCTCAGCTCGACCGATCGAGCCTTCCCACGCCGAAGAATCACATCCGTTGTTGGTTTTTGGTTATGGGTAAGGGGTTTAGGGTTCAGGGTTTAGGGTTTAGGGGTTTAGGGTTCAGGGTTTAGGGTTTAGGGGTTTAGGGTTCAGGGTTTAGGGTTTAGGGGTTTAGGGTTCAGGGTTTAGGGTTTAGGGGTTTAGGGTTCAGGGTTTAGGGTTTAGGGGTTTAGGGTTCAGGGTTTAGGGTTTAGGGGTTTAGGGTTCAGGGTTTAGGGTTTAGGGGTTTAGGGTTCAGGGTTTAGGGTTTAGGGGTTTAGGGTTCAGGGTTTAGGTTATAGTGTTACGGTTTATATATGTTTCAGGGCTGGGGAGCTTCGTCTATAACGAGATCCGGAAGCACTCAGGTTGAAAAACAGTGTTTTGCCAACCGTGGTGGCTTACGGTTAAAACCGGACCCCGAAATCAAATCATAAACACTTGCACCGCAAACCCAAATCCTACGGTTGATGATATAAGTCCTGCATTACCTTAATGACCCTGGACTATGGGAATTGTGGTATAGTCCTTATTGAGTGTAATGCAGGATTTACACCATCAACCCTAAACCGTAAACCCTAGAGATCCCCTAAAGGAGCCCCTCAAAGGTACCCTTGTAGATCCCTTTAAAGGAACCCCAGGATTTGCATCATCAACCGTAGCTGCAGGCAGAAGTGGTCCCAGAGGTGGTCGCGAAATACTTCTGGGGAACCGGCGCCCTAGTGTTGGGGAATGGCAACGCCTTCTACACGAAGGCGAGGTCTACCCTAAGGGTCCTAACACTTTAGGGAGCCTCAAAATGTAGGATTTCTGAGACCCCAAAGAGACCCAAGGGCTCTCCCTAGGAGGTTCCGGACCCTCCTAACGAGATACCTGGACCCTTAGGGTAAGACCTAAACCAAGGTTCTTTAAGGCGTGCGACGGTTCTACAAGGGGTCTACTGGGGCTACACGGTGTTTGTGGGTTCAGGGCGGAGGGTTTAGGTCACCCCAAGTACGCTTGAAAAAGCCCTAGTGGTCCTAAATAGTATATGTACTATATTCAGGGTGTAGGGTTAGAATAGAAGGCGTTTGTGTTGGTACTATCGAGCTTCTTCAATCTGGGGAGGGGATTCGTCCGCAGAGATTGGCGGTTTACGGTTTGCCGGCGGGCCATGTTCCGCGCCCGGCAGAATTCAGAGTCTTGAACCGCACGGCTGTGATGTTCGCAGTCTAGCGTTGGCCCGGAATGGTCGATAAGTTGGTGTATTGGTCCCCAGGACTCCTTATTAATATATGTAGGATAGATACATATGCATGCATGTATGTATGTACGCATGTATGGATGGATGTACGTAGGGGTAGGTATGTGTGTAAGTATGTGTCCTTTAGTATACCTCAAAACACTATTCACATCATCCTGGCCCCTAAGTCATAGAACCCCTTTTCGATTCCTGTAGTCACAGTTATGGGCGGATTCCTCCGGGGTCCCCAAGACAGTGTGCAACATGTAGTTCTGCCTTCTACATATAGTCTCGATTGTGGTTCCCCTTCAGGGCTACTTTATAGGAGCTTAAACATCAAAGCTTCCCCCACGGGTCCAAGTACCTAATAATCGTATACTCTCCAAAATCCTAACCTACATAACTATACTATCCTAAAACCAACCGAGTACCTAATTGTTGGGTCCTTTAGACCCTTGGGGTTCTTTTACTAACCAAGAATAGGAAGGTAGGGCTGCTTTCGCGGAGGCAGAGGCTGGGCGCGCGGGACAGTGCGTGGGCAAGGAGCCTGCATGTGCCTTTCTTGCTTGCTGATCATGCAAACCAGCTTACAGTTTTAATTGTAGCAATAGTGGCAGTGGTAGTCATCATGGTGGTGGTGGTTCTGCTCGTAGTCGTGATCGTAGTCAAAGTCGTCATCAGACAAGTCCTATCATACTATTTTTGATCATGAATAGGTTCCTGAGAAGCACCCTGTTTCCCTTTTTCTTTTAGGCTTCCCTTAGTGAAGCTGAATATTACGAGACACGGTACCCTTATTATCAAGGGGTTACTCAGGTACCTAGATGATATTTATACAACTCTTACGCCATTCTGCAAAAACCACTACCCGACATGTTTCGGCTATTGGAGCCTTACCCTAAGGGTCCAAGTACCTAATTATCATATACTCCCAAAATAGTAACCTACATAACTACTATCCTAAACCCAAGTACCTGATTACTGGGTCCTTTGGAGCCTTTAGGTAGGGCTGTATGATCTCCAGGACAAGCTCCTTTGGCGCCGCTGCAGTCTGCTCAGCTTGCCTCGATTTTTCATGTAGGGTTTAGGGTTTAGGGAGTTTAGGGTTTAGGGGTTTAGGGTTTAGGGAGTCTGCTCAGCTTGCCCCGATTTTTGAATTGGTTGTCCCAACACTTCCAGCACCAAATCGTCATGTCGTCCAAAGGGTCCAAGTACCATTATAGTAAGTACTTAGTAGGTATTTGGCCCCCCAGAGTATATACTATGCTATTACGTGGTCGTATGCTCTCCTCCACACAAACCCCAAGAATGACCCGCAACCCAAACACCCGGGCCTTAAGCCAACGCTAGACCTTGCGCTCCAAATTCTGGGGAGATCGTGTGTTCCATTCCGTGTGGCGAGGAGAATTACTGCTTACGGTTGATGATATAAATCCTGCATCACCTTAATGACCCTAAACTATGGGAATTATGGTATATTCCTTACTATGGGTCATGCAGGTTTTATATCATCAACCGTTAGCCCTGAGCCCTAAACGCCCAAATCCCTAAAACCTGGACCTAAGCTCCAGACCCACACCCTACACTAGTACATCTTAAAAGCACAAAGAGCCCCAAATCCTCATCCGTCAATCCTACTCCCGAAAGCCCTAAATAACTCGGCAGGGGCACGCCTAGCAGGAACTTACTGGACACAAAGTAAACCTAAACCTTCGTAGATATAGGATCCCTATGTACTGACATACTTTTCCCAGGAAGTGCGTTTTGTCCCTGCGCCCTAGGACCAACACCAAAACCTTCAAACCCTAAACCCCAAACTCCAAACTCTATAAACCTCAAACCCTAAACCGTACACCCTGCAGTCTGAAAACCTATCCACGAACCCTAAGCACTGCTCTTTTGTCCGAGGCTCAAGCAGCAAGTGCCAATATCGACCCAAGGCCCAGTTTGTGTTATCCATTAGGCTCTTTAGGAGCTCAATTAGGGGTTTATAGGGTCAAGGGTTCAGGATGTGGGGCTTCGGTTGTGTCCTTCCTTGAACCCCACAGAATCCCGGGTAGTGGAGAGCCTGAAGCTTGCCTCAGTAAGTAAGAGTCTGCCTTCTTAGTAGGGAATGGGGGAGTGGGTTATGGGAACTACTAGTGGGGAATATAGCGGGACTGGTATAGGGATCTATTCCTCCATTCCCTACTAAGAACCATACAGGAGTTTCTGTTTAGGGAGTTTGTCTGAAGCTTTAAATGCAAGAAAGGAAGCATCGAAGGAACTAAACCCTAAACCCTAAACCCTAAACCCTAAAGGGGCCCTAAGCCCTATATACCCTGCAGCGCCCGTCCCTTTGAGGAACCCTTCCGAGGAACAATTGAACCCTAAACCCCAAACTCTAAATCCTGAACCCTACGCCCTAAATCCTAAGCCGTAGGCCCTACCTAGAGTGACCAAGGTAGCTAAAACAAGGGACATCCATGCAGTTTTTTGGCGTTATGTGCAAGTTTTTACGATACATAGGTTACTCTAGGTAAGCTGCAAAAGCCATAAAAGACCTAGAAGCCGTAAGCCTAATTGCACCCAAAAGCCCCAAAACACCTAAACCCCTAAAAGCCCTAAAGCCCCCAAACCCCCTAAGCCCTCAGCGCACGGCAGGGCATTTCTGCGCGTGTGCTGATCCGACGCCTTTGCGAGCCTCTGGAGTCCGAGAGCTCAGAAAACCCAAACCTAAAGGGTCCAAAGTACTGTTATAGTAGAATGTAGGGTTTCTATACTAGGAATTACTTTTATGATTTGGGGAAGTCTTCCCCATGACAGTACCTGGGACCCTTTGGGAAACCTAAAGGGTCGTAGAAACTGCTATGGGTAATACTTCAAAGGATTCCTTTAAGGGATCTATAGGGGTCCGTTGAAGGGCTCCTTTAAGGGATCTATAGGGGTACTGTTATGGGGAATACTTCCGCAAAAATCAGAATCGTAATTCCAATATAGAAACCCTCCATTCTACTATATAGGTACTTTGGACCCTCTGGGCAAACTTTGTCATAGTTGGGCAACATTTTACATTTTTGGGGTACTTAGAACTTAAACCCAGTAAGGACCATAAATGTGCATTTTTAATCCTATCCCAACCATGAGCTAGAAAACCCAGAGACTCTAATACCACTGAATTCAGGAATATATTCCTTAGTTGAGAGACATTGGAGACTCTGGGAAGCATTAACATGACGGAAAGGGGTTCCTCTAAGGGTTTTGGATTCTCGATTTAGGATGTTATGGTTCCAGGGTTTTGGGGCTTAGGGTTTATTGGCCTCGAGGGTAACTTGAACGGCTTCTGCTCTTGTTCCTGCTCTTTCTCCTTCTCCTGCTCTTGCTTTTGCTGCTGTTCTTGTTGCTACTTCTGCTCTTGCTTCTGCTCTTGCGCTTTCTTCTCCTCTGGCTTTTGCTCTTGCTCCCGTCCTTACTTGCTGTTGCTAATGTTCCAGCTCTTGCTCTTGCTCGCTGTTGCGCCTGCTCTTGCTTGTTCCGCTCTCGCTCTTGCTCCTGAGCCCCCTTTCAGGGGGTTTGTGTGGGTCTTTTTCCCGTGAAAACCCTAAACCCTAAACCCTAAACCAAGATCGAAAAGAGGCCCTTAAAACAAAAAAAAAAAACTAAACAAAAAGCGGGAGCGATTTAACTTCGATCCCAACTCCTAAAGCCTCAAACACTGAGGTCGCCCGGCGCTATGCACCATGCGGAGGAACGTGCTTTGTCACTTGCGCTACTTCGGGCTCTACGTGCTTTGGGGTTAGGGGTTGCTGCACCGGGGTTGCTGATGAATGGAGCCTCTTTCTTTTCAAGGGGTCTATAGCATCAGGATCCCTACGATCATCCTTGATTACCTGTGAGAGGGGGCTCATTAATCAGGGAGGGGTCTACAAAAGCCTTTTGTAGGCCCTAAAGGGTTGAGGGGTAGTCAGCAGAGTTTTGGGCTTTGGAGTTATGGTGTTCAGGGTTGCAATTAGCCAGTGGTAGAGTAGGTAACCTTTAACCTTTTTTGGGTGGTATAGTCTCTATAGAAACCCTATATAGCCAAAAAGCTCAACCTTTAGTTTTTCCTGAGACCCGACAAGTAGGATTAAGGGCTTTAGGTTTTTTCAAGGCTTGGAGGTTTTGAATAGCAAGAAAATGAAACCCCAAAAATTGAAGCTCTATGAGCCTCGAGATTAAGCCCCACCTTGACCCTAAGCGATCTATGCTTCTAAAGGGTTTAAAGCATAGTGAAATCATGGAAGGGAGCCTTACAAGACAGATGATTCAGGGTCGATTCACACCTTATCCTACCATCTAGATATACTATAGGCCTTGAGTAAGCAGCCCTTCTATAGACTGTTAGTAGCTGTATGGGAGCAGTACTCAACCTATAGGCCTCAAGTCCCGAACCTTATCCCACCTCTGGCGCCGTTTGATGCCACCAGGAGATACCGCCCTGCGGTAAGTTGGTGGTTCCTGCAGGCGGAGCATGTCCGAGACAGCTTAGGTTGGAATCGTAGCCCAAATAGCCCTGGTAAGAAAGGAGAAGCTTTACACCTTGTGTTGAGGAATCGAAAGCTGTGTATATAAAGAGAGAGACTATAAAATGCTAAGCCCTATACACCGGTAGGGTTTATTTAGGACCAGGCTATGGGGTCTAATTAGGACTTCCACTAAGGCTGCGGCGGGTGCCGAGCCTTGTCAGTTCAAAAAACACGGACGTGGAGGATCATGGGGCCTATAGTAAAGTAGCGATATAAGTACTCCCTAATTAGGATTCTACGTAGTTACAAGTATAATTTGTTGCCCTATTTATAGTTGCAACCATATTTACAAGTCCCATGGCAATCGGGATCCACTTCTGGCCATGCCTGTACCGAACTGACTCGATGTTCACCTAGAGCCCAAAACCCCAAACCCTGGACCCGAAACCCTAAACCCCAAACTGTCAGCCCTAAAGCCATGCAGTGAGCACAACAAGAACCCCGAATCCGAAAGATTCATTCCTAAACCCTAAGCCCCGAGCCCTGGACACCGAGAGCCCTAAAACTCGAAGCCCTAAACCCCTAGAGCCCTAAACCACTGGTGCCCTAAACCTCTAAGCCCCAAGCCCCGAACCTCGAGGATTCCCCATAGGTCAGGGTCAGCACTGTGCAAGGCGTGGCGTTCCTTCAAACTAGTCGGCTGCCGCAGGGTCGTTGGGCACCTCTGCCCGAATCCCAGTACGCAAGGGCACGAGGTTCAGTATTGAGGGTGTATGGTTCAGGGTTACCCTAAACCCTAACCCTAAGGGTCCAGAGCACCCAATAATAAAGTACTTAGGTTTCGGATAATAGTTATGTAGGTTACTATTTGGGAGAGTATATGATCATTAGGTACTTAGACCCTTGGGGTAAACCCAGGGTTTAGGGTTCATGGTTCAGTTCAGAGTTCAAGGTTAGCAGGCCTGGGTTCGGGGTTTGCTTAGTGCGTTTCGACCTCGACGGATCTGTAGTACTGTTTGGGTCCTCTTTGGCAGGGTTCAACAAGGTTCAGAGGAGAAATCTAAACACTTCGTAAAAAATCCCTGTAGAAAGCCGAACAACGCCCCATTCAAAAAGAAGAAGCAACCAAACCCAACCCCCAAACCCTCTATCCCTCAACCCCCAAGCTTTCAACCCGACAAACCTCTAAGCCTCAACCCTTACCTGAACCCCCAAAGCATGTAGAATAATGGCCTTTTATAGGTATTGGGCCATAATTTTACCTACTTTGGGAGGTTTAGGTAAACCCTAAACCACCAAACCCTAAACTCTGAAAAACACGCGCGTTTTGAAGTCATCCGATAGCAAGCAAGGCCAAAGGATGCGGAGGTTCTCGAGGCCGACTCCTCGTCGGTGACTTGACTTAGGGTTTTTTTTCAAAGGTCCCTTTTAAGGGATCTATAAGGGTCCCTTTAAGGGTTCCTTTAAGGGATCTATAGGGGTCTCTTTAAGGGTTCCTTTACGGGATCTATAGGGGTCCCTTTAAGGCTTCCTTTAATAGGGATCTATAGGGGTCCCTTTAAGGGCTCTTTTAAGGGATCTATAGGGGTCCCTTTAAGTGTCCCTTTAAGGGATCTATAGGGGTCCCTTTCAGGGTTCCTTTAAGGGATCAAAAGGGGCTGCTTTAAGGGCTCCTTTACGGGATCTATAGGGGTACTGTTCTGGGGAATACTTCCCTATCTCATAATAGTAATTCCTAATATAGAAATCCTACATTCTGCTGAAAAGCTACTTTGGAGCCTTAGGGTCTACCGCTTTCTAGAGGGTGAGGGCATTTCGGATTTAGGTTTTGACATTAAGGTGGGGTTTAGGGTTTAGGGTAAGAAAAGGGGTTAGCAGCCCTGAACCCTGCTTCAAGCTTCAGAACAGCTTTACAAAGGGTGCACGAGGGTTTTGTTGGCTTTTGTACCAGAAGATCTTAACCGGATAGCAGTACCTTGATGGTCCAAGTTTCTTACAACAATCAAGGTATCTGAGTTTAGGAACCCTACTAGGATGCCCAGTAGTACCCTTATTCCCTTTTTGTAGTCCTAGGTTCCCTGTAAAGTTACCCAATACCAAAAAGAGAGGCCTTTTTATTCTTAGGTTACTGGGTATCCTAGACTATGTGTGAATTGGATCTTGCACTCTCGCTTGAGCTTGTAAGTTGCTGTCCGACATCCGACACCTGTCGAACAGTTCTAGGCTCATCCAAGTATGATCACGGCACGGTATGCTGACATTGAAATCTTAAACCCCATGGCATGAATCCCAAGCCCCTGCACCTAAAGGGCTTAGCAAGGCATGTGGACGGCCAGCCCTTCATTGCTCTCTCGCGCCTCTCGGGCTCAAGAAAATCCGTAAAGTGGGTGCGCAACGCGGAGCATCAGTCCAGGACTGCGCCGCTTTGAAAGCTCCCAACTCCGGCTTTCGGAATGGTTTAAACTCTAAGGGGTTAGGGATTTGGGGTTTAGGGGTTAGGGATTTGGGGTTTAGGGTTTAAGGGTTTAAGGGTTTGGGGTTTAGGGTTTAGGGTTTAGGGTTGGGTTTGGGGTTTAGGGTAAACCCTAGGCCTTAAACCTGAGATCCAGAATTACAGTTTCGGGATTTGGCTTAAGGGCTTCGGGCCAGGTCATAGTCAGAGGAAGCAAAACCTTTCCAGGCCCAAAGCGGACCCCAGGAACAGCATTCAACACCTTCTCCACTTAAGGCTGTCAGTGCTGAAGTGTGAGAATTTTCACAACAAAAATTCGACAGCCTGAAAATTCAGGAGCTCACCTCGTAATGTAGGGCATAGCAACTATCCCCTCATCGTCTTTTTAACATGAGTGTGCCAAACATGTCCCCTTTATGAGTGCTATATCCTTCAACCGATGTTTCCCGAGCAAGTCCGCCAACAAAAACCTAAATCCTAAAGATGTTCGTCCTTTCCTGGGGCTTCGTGGAGACGTCGCCTTTGTTATTCTATTTTACTCCTTTCTCTAGTGATCTCGTATTATACCCAACTAAAACCTTATTCCCTTCAACGTCACCATTGATTGTGCTCCGGGGGGCTTTTAATACTATGTTCCTGCGAGGCCCCTCAATATCACCATTGGATCAACGAGCGCCATAAGCAGCGGCATTGACGTAGGCGGACATGTTGGCCAAGGTGAGCTTCAGTCACGCCTCGTGCATGGACAGGGCACTAAAGGCCTGAACAGCTAGCAAAACTGGTCGACCGTTTAACAACCCCTAGAAACCCTAAACCCTAAACCCCTAAACCCTAAACCCTAAACCCTGAACCCTAAACTTAAATCGTAGCCGAAAATACCATACCCCATGGCCCGGATGGAACTATTCTGGCCCCCCATTTTCCATTCTACAAGAACGATCGAAACGCTGATCTCTCAAACCGATCCAAATCTCAATGAGAGCCCCAAACCCGAAACCCAAAGGCCCTGAGACCGCAAAGCTCTGAAGGAGCAACCATGGCCGAGGAAGGAAAAGTGGAGGCCGTGGCCAGGGTTAACTTTTGGGTACTACAAGGGCTACTGGAAGTAAGAGTTCTATGAAAGGGGCTAGCTAGCTACTATGAGGGTCAGAACAAGGATTACTTTTGTTGCGAGTGAGCAAGGTTGTGGTTTTGGGTTTGTGGGGTTCAGCGACTTAGGTGCTTAAGGTCTGCTTCGTCAGACGTTCAGCGCTTATGTAGGGTTTAGGTTTAGGGGTTCAGGGTCCTGGGCAGATCCTACGCTGTTTTTGGGGCAGACTCCTGCTTAATTAACCCGCCTTTGCACAGGCCAAAAGAAACCACAATACAGAAGCCTGAATAATTACCAATCTATAATACTATTTCCTATTTCAGTATAATGGCCCGCAAAACCGTATTCTAATCATTAAGGGCCCTATATTACACCCTTGTCTAGTTGTATTTATATAACACTCTTCTGCTATGGAACCCTTATGTACCCGCCGCTTGCCCTCTGATAGGGTTTGCCCTGAGGGCCTGAACAATGTTGGGAACCTCAAAATGTAGGATTTCTGAGACCCACAAGCAAAACCCTCCCCCAAGGAGATTCCGGACCTAGAAGATACCTGGACCCTAAGGGTAGGGTTTAGGGTTTAGGGGTTCTTCCTTGCCTTCTTATGCTGCAGGAGAAGGACAACTTCGACGTGGGTCCCCTGCCGCTCGGCCTGAGGGTTAAGCTTCCCTACTTTGGGGACAACGGGACATAGTAAGTAAGGTTCCTTAGAGGGTTCCTTAAAGGGTTCTCTAAGGGCTCTTTCGGCGCTTTGGTTTCTCCTCTAAGGATCAGGAGACTTGGTAAGTGCGAGTGCAATATTATCCTAATCAGGGTAATGTTTGATAGTTACCTTGTTTACAGCCCTTGTTGCTGCGTCTCATGATCCTCGAAGTAAGGGTTCACTTTCATTAGTAATTGAAGGATCGGAAGGTTTAGTTGGGTTACAGAGGCGTTTAGCAAGGATTTTTATGTAGGTGTCTTATCTCGGCTTTCTGAGTAGTATCTCCTGGACTAGGAATCTGCCCCCTCCTGGACTAGGAATCTGCCCCAAAATTCCGTAAATTCCCGAAGTTCCCGGGAGTTTGAGGACTAAACAACCCTGAAATGCAGCCGCCAGCTTTGGTGAGGGCATTCTGACTACTCTACATCCCATGAGGGCTAACCGTAAACCCGAAACCCCGAATCCGAACCTCTCTACCCTAAACCCCAAAACCCGAAACCCCAAAAAACCCTAAACCCTTAAATCCTAAATCCGACAATGAAGTCCGAACCTCTCTACCCAAACCGGCCCTGAGTCCGATGGCTGCAGTTTCGGGAGGCTTCCTTGGTGTAGGAATCCTTCGGATTCAAGGTCTTGGACCTTTGGGACTCGCCTTCGGAATTGGGGGTTTCAGCAGGCTTAAGGCAATCCGGATATATTGCCCTAAGCCCTAAACCCCTAAACCCTAATAAACCCTAAACCCCTGAAGCCCTAAACCCCGAAACTCATGAACCCTAAACCCCTAAGCCGGATATGTATCCTGGGTTTGGCGCTTCAAGAAGGCACGTTTCACAAGAACTGCCGGCAGTCGCTGGCATCCGACCCAGGTCGGTCTTGCAGAAGTGCGTGAAGGATAACTCCCAGGTGCAGAGCAACTTGAGCTTTGTAGGGGGCTTTGAGCCTGGGTGTCTGGTAATATTGCTCTGTTGTCAAGACGGGGGATTGTGCTGTGGCTCCTGTTGCTCGTTCTGGCGTTACTGACCACGCTGCACGTCGTCATCCATACCCCCAAGGGTCCAAGTACCAAAATCATATACTCTCCAAATTCCTAACCTGCATAACTACTACCCTAAAACCGAGTACCTAATTATTGGGTCCTTTGGACCCTTAGGGTACTGTAAAACATCTCATTGTTGGCCGCCTTTGCCCTCTCAGGCCAAGCCCTGGACCCTGGACGCCCCCCACACCCCGCCACAACAAGAGGCAACAGCAAGCAATGCACATATATCATCAAACATAGCTCGTATGATCATATGAAGATGGTTCTCGTTAAAAATACAAATATAACATCTGTATCAGTTCTCGACATATATATATATATATATATATATATATATATATGGATATACATACACATACATACATACATTCATACAGCATATATATGTATATGTATATTGTTTAGATCGTGATGGCAAGATAGCCATCAAGCACAGCAATATCGATCACTAACACTTGGCTTCAAGCAGCAATGACAACAGCAATTACAACAGCAGAAGCCAAAAACCCTAAAATCTACGCAGAAAAGGAGCTTACAAACAAAAACAACAACTATAGCCTTAACCCTAGGCCACCATGGCCCCGAAACCCCAAGTCCTGGAGGTGCTCATCAACTGCCGCAACAACCGGAAGATCCTGGCCCGAGTGAAGGCTTTCGACCGACATTCGAACATGGTGCGCCTAGCCTTCCGGGGAGGGTTTAGGGGGTTTAGGAGGTTTAGGGGGTTCAGGAGGGTTTAGGGTTTAGGGGTTCAGAGGTTTCAGAGAGGGGTTAGGGAGGGTTAAGAGGGTTTAGGGCTTGGGGTTTAGGATTTCGGATCTAGTCTTGCCGTAGGGTTATTGCAGTGCTGTTTTGGTTGTTTCAGTATTTGGGTCTCATACAATCAATGGCAAAAGCTCAAGCAGGACAACTTCCTCTTGAACTCTCAATTTCAACCCGTTACTACGGTTGATGACATAAATCCTGCATTACCTTAATGACCCTAGACTATGGGAATTATGAAACATTCCTTATTATGGGTAGTGCAGGATTTATATCATCAACAGTAAGTCCCTTGGGCTTCCATGTAGAGGATTTGGGTGCCGAGGCTTCCAATTTTGACCCGAAACCCTCAAACACCGTACGCGTTGGCACGGATGTCGTCGAAGCCGAAGTCTTGCGCCGCGTTCGCAACGACCAGACTGAACAGACGGGGGTTTAGGGTGTCTGCAGGGTTTAGGGTTTACAGAGCTTTCATGTCATGGACGCAATCACGCCCTGCGGAGAAAGGTTGATTTCAATCGTTTTGCCACAAGTGCCGAACGACAAGACATGCGGGCTGGGTTGCTGAATTCAGTTTTGGAGTGAGTCGTGTTGATACCCTCATACCAATTCTATCAGGGGGTCGCCAGTGGTCGTGCTCAGTTTTTGGGCGGTTTTGAGATGGTGTCTCACATTGCTATGTTGTTGGCTTGCATGAGATTCAAAAAGGGGCCTCAGGAGGCAGACCTCAGATCATTTGGCTTAAGCCATGCCTCAAAAATCCCATACCTGTACCTACCTATATAACCTTTAGTTCCTCATGATACCCGACAAGTGGGTCTTAAGGATCGTAATGCAGGAACCTGATTAAGAAGCCTTGGGCATTTATTAGGGTCCCCTGATATGGTTTCTACTATTTTGGGGTTATTGGCCCAGGGTTTCTTAATCAGGTTCCTACATTAGTAGAGTAATCTAAGGGTCCTAACAGATTGGGGAACCCAAAAATTGCGGGTTTCTGAGACCCCAAAGAGACCCAAGGACCCTCCTAAGGAGATACCTGGACCCTACATTAAACCTCTTAAGGGCTTGAGCGATCCAGGAGGTTTGCTCCTGAGCTCCCAGGCAATCTTACTGTTGATGGACAAAATCCTGCATGACCTTAAGGACCCTAAGCTATGGGAACTATGGTATACTTATATAAGGATCCTAAACTATGGGAACTATGGTATATTCCTTATAACGGGTAATGCAGGATTTTGTCCATCAGCAATAGTTGTGAGAGCCGTTCGTCTCATGTGGCAGGCTTCAGCCTTCCACTAGGACCCAGAGTAGGCTCTTTTTTCCCTTTTTTGGGGGCTTAGGTTCCCTTATAACCCCCTTTAAAACCAACAAGGGCACCATTTTTTTCCTAGCCTGCTCTTAGGTCTTGTCCAATCGGCGACTCTAGTAGTAGTCGTCGTCTCTGTCGTGCAAAGCGGCCTGACATTTGTCGGAAGTTGTCGGCTCCAGTTCTAGCTGGGTGGTTGTCAAAATTAGGGTCCTTTTTTGGGTCCTTATTATGCACCTAATATTTAGGGTACCCAAAAAGGGACCATAATTTTGACAACTACCCAGTTCTAGCTCGTAGATGTGGGATACTGCGAGGCAGCTGAGATTATGGGAGTGCCAGTGACGGATTCTTAAACTTGCGCACTGCGAGGTACTTGAGAATGTCCGAGAGATGTGGACGGAGACCCCTCACGGCGGAAAGAAGAAAGCGAAGCCCGTGAACAAGGACGCGCAGCCCGAAATCACAGACCTAAGAGTACGGTTCATCACAGCTACTAGATGTGGGAGATTCCGAAAACTAGGGGTACCTCACCTGGGGTTCCTTATAATTAATAGGGATCCTAGTAACCTAGTATTTAGGGTACTATACTGTGGTCCTCTATTTTCGGAAACTCCCATGTACGTAAAGTTCTAACGACTCGAACATGCGGCCTTTGGGTCCTACTTGGAAGGGCCAAAAGATCCTGAACAATACGGCCTCTATATCCTTGTGTAATGGCTATGAATATCATGATTAATGCTGGCTGAACCCTACACCCTGTTAGGGTACATGTCGTCCTTGCCGCAACATAGGGGTTGGAGTAATGAATCAGCAAGATCATTCCTTCGGGCTCCTTGTCAGCAATTTCTGTAATGTACACTCCGAACCTTCATCTAACCCTAAGGGTCCAAGTACCTAACTATCATATGTTCTCCAAAATAGTAACCTACATAACCACTATCCTAAAAAACCTAGTATATACCTAATTATTGGGTCCTTTGGTGGGCCCTTGGGGTAGTTGATAAGGCCCCCGCCTCGGACCGGACCCCTAAACCCCTCGAGGTGTTTCAGCGGAAGCCGATATGCGGCCTGATGTGCTAGCAACGATGATAAGATCAGTATTCTGATACACAGTGTGTGGGGCCATCAATATCTAAAACAAGAGTGGTAGGCTCCTTACCCCAAGGGTCTAAGAATCCTAAGGACCTAATAGTTACCTGAGTTTAGCACAGTATTTTGGGGGATTCGTATTCTTGAGAGTATATGATTAGTAGGTATTTGGACCCACATACGAATCAATGAATGTCCGTCTGGAAGGTCTGCTACCTCGAAGAAGCCCTCGAACCCTGCATCCCCCCCTGAATCCTGCACTCTACCTTGTTACTAAGCCCTACTACAGTAAACCCCTTAAAGTTGGAAACCGGATTAAGGCAAAATAGTGCCGGGATTCCCTTTGCGTTACTCTTAAGGATGGAGGCTATCGGGTTTCCAACCTTTGGGCTTCTACTATACTACTATACAGCCTAAACTCTGAACCTTCAACCCCGAAACACTGGCTCAGACTTGACACCGCAGGACCGATTTATCAGCAAGATGTTCCTTCGCGGCGACTCAGTAATCCTGGCAGCTCTGTTGCAAGCATACTTTAATGAATGTTGTTAAGGGTTTACAGGTTCGAAGTTCAGCATTCAGCGCTTTAGATTAAGGTGTCGTCTCCTGTCAGATCAAATTAATCAGCCGGCCAGGTTGAGTCGCGCAGCGTTTCCGCCTAAATTAAACCTACGACCCCGAACCCTACACATAGTAGGTTCTGACCCCTTAGTTAGAGGGTAGTTAGAACCCTTAAAACGGTCGGTGTTTGCCTCCCTAGGAACAGCCTACGGCGAATCCTCAGCTTCCATTTTACTCCAGCACCAGACGTGGATGCTGTTGCTTCGTGCACTTTCAGATGGCTGCTTATGTGAATACAGTGCGGATACTATGATACAAAAACGTTGAATGTACATTATACTAAAACAAACATGTGTGTATATTTGTATGTCTATGTATTGTTACTTGGAGGGTCGGGGGACTTACTAAGCAGCTATTTCAAGGTGTTATAAATACCATAGTCCCAATTGGGATCCATTTTAGCGGTACTTACAACTCTGCTTGTTAACTACTTACTAAGTCCCCCGACCCTCCAAGTAAGACAGACTTCGAGATTGTCAATCGTGATCCCTACGTCCCATCCAAGGTACTGCGCAATCCCAAGTGCGGGAGCCCAGCAGAGATCCGTTTCAGGTTTAAGCTTCAGGGTGTAAGGTTTATAGGGTTTAGGGTTAGGGGTTTAGGGATTCCACAAATTCATTATTCGCTCAGGGTGCGCGCAATATGTTTCTGCAGGTTGAGGGGTTTAGGGTTTAAGTATTACGGTTTGGTGGCTGCAGGGCAATTGCAAATCAAATTTAGGGGCTGGGTCGACCTTTTTCAGATGCTGTTAAGGGTCAGGGCGTTTTTCAAGCTTCAATTCCACGAAGGGCTCAGGAGTTGAAGCTGAAGAACCATAGCTTGCTGATGCTGCGCTTTAGGAGCATTCTAGGGGTTTAGGGTTTAGGGATTATGGTCGTCTCGGACATTGGGTTTCCTAAACCCCTACACCAGAGAAGAAACTTCGGTTTGGGGGTCTCGGAACGGCGGGTTTTAGGCGGCTTTGCATGTAAGACGAAAGGGTGGATTCTTAGGTGCATAGGTTTCAGGGCTTGGGGTTTAGAGTTATCGGCTTTGCGAAAATAGGGGTTTCTAGAGGTTTTTGGTCGCGGTACCCCGCCTTGTTGGGACTCCCGACAAACTCCCGGCGGGTTATTCAAAGAGTTTTCAGCATATCTAGGGTTTAGGGTGTCGGGCTAAAGGCTCAGGAGATACGTGTATATGAGGTCCTCGTTATATGTGGGGTCTTTCTGCGTGTTCTTGTCAAGGTAGAACAAGGCTCCTACGGTCATGGGGTTTTTGAAAGGGCCCACTGTGTGACTGCATCTACCGGCAGCTGAGGTAGAAAGAAGCTGGGCAATGCACCTGGTCCATCGCAGGCACGATCTCGAGCACTTGTCCGAATCCTTAACCCCGTAAACTCTACCTTAACACCGAAAAACCTACATTTTTAAGGACCTGTAGAAAGAAATCATAATAAGGAACCCTAAAAAGGTAGGTTATTCAGGGTTACGGTAGAACTTGAACTCGATCAGCTGTAAATACCATCCTTTTCAAAGCCACCAAACATGCATCACTAGAAATCAAATTCCCTCACTCACCACCAAGCCTAAGATGAAGAAATCTCGGGGGTCAACCCTAAACCCTAAACTCTAAACCCTAAGCCCTAAACCCTAAACCCTACACCCTAAACCGGTCAGGGTGGAGAGTTTCGAGCTTCACGGCTTTTGAGGTTTGGGGCTTCCTGGGCTTTGGGTCTCTTGAAGAGCCAAACTCAGGACATGCCTTAGAAGGGTGACATGCCATTGTCGTGGACCCGAACCCGTACACCCGAAACCCTACACCCAACCTGACTCCGAAGTTCAATCGACAGACCCCAAAGGTCGAATAACCGGTTCTAGGATGTACCCTTATTCCCTTTGAGGTTCCTAGGTTCCTCATAAAGTTACGCAATACCGAAAAGGAAGCCCTTTTTATTCCTAGGTTACTGGGCATCCTAGGGTTAAGGTTTACTTTGAAGATCAGTCCCATTTATTACCAAGCAGATGACTCGACTTAAAACCTACTTCCTAAGTCCTCTGATCCTCTGAGTAAGGACTCCTATGCTAAGCCTTCCTGGCAGGAAGGACCATGCAGTACATGTGTGTGTATAATATATACATCTATGTATATATTATATTATTATATGTATAAATAGATAGATAGATAGATAGGTAGATAGGTAGGCTGCATCTTTATTCATGGCAAATGCATGGCTTTTATGGCTATGGTGAGCCGTATGGGGTTGGGCTCCAAGGATCGTGGCTCATAGAAACTCATAAAAGCAGCCATGTATTTACAGAAACCTAACCCCGATGTTCCAGAGTCCAGAGGGCCCGACAATCGGTTTCTCAGGCTTCGGGCAGTAGTAGCAATCACGATATGATCGTCAGGCATTTGGTAATTATTTAGGCCCCTATACAAAACCCCCATAATACCCCTTATAGCAATCCTTATAGACCCTTAATTACGGTCCCCCGGGGTCATAGAACTCCGCAGAAAACCCCGAACTCCTGAACGACCGCTGCTAGGCACTCGGATGCCTTATGAGCCCTGCGTGGCATTTTGCTAAGCCAGGCGCTGCTGGGGAGCTCCTTTGAGAGGATCAGGGTTGTTGGAGGTTTCTGTACAAAGGTTTGAATTCGTGGTGATATTCAAAAGGATAGTAATTAGCAGTAGTGGTAGTATATAGTAGTAGCAGTGGTAGCAGCAGCAGCAGCGGCAGCAACAGTTGAGCACGTGGTTCTTCCACGTTTGAGTGTTGAAGTCTGAAGCTGAACTTCCATGATGTGACCGGCACCATCCGCTAGAGGTTGACTTTGCTTTCCCTAGCACAACCGACGCCAAACTCTGAAGAACAAAAACGATGCATTACGGTTTAGGGCTGGTGCAGGGCCAAGGTTTACGGAAGCATGGCGAGGCGAAGTCGTTTTGTAAGCCAATCAACTGCAACCCCCGGACCCCAAATCCTGCCAACTGACACCCGTAGCTGAGAAGACTCATTTTCAATGTTCGTGATGGTCAGTGACGCCAACTGCTTTCAACATGCATGTTACAAGCTTGACACACAGGGTAGTAGGTTGGGATTTGTTTAACTTCTATGACATGTTTCCGGCTTCTGGAGAGTCGTTCAGAGGCAAGCCAGGATTTTGGCAGTGGGAGGTTGGGATCTATCCGAACCTTAAGGGCTCTCACTAAATGATGGAATTTGCAGGGACCCAACCATAAAAATAGGTTTTCGGTAGTTTAAAGGAACTGAACATACTCAGAACTGCTTACAGCCCATGTACCGTCGCCGCCGCTTGCAGGCAAGCAGATGCAGTGTGAGTGCTGGAGAGTAAGCTGCATGCTCTAACCCTTAAATACACTAAACCCTCAACCCAGGATACGGTGTTGAGTAAGCCGGAGATGGTTCCGGCAGTAGGATTTCGGTGGGTCTAGGATTCAGGGCATGGGACTCACTATTTATGCATTTTAGGGCCCATCATTGAGACACTTCACTAATTAAGGTTTGGTCAAGTTTGGACTGTGTTTAGGGCATGCAGATGCAAATCTCAAGGCTTGAGGGTTAGGATGCCACCCCGTTGCAAGAGTGATCCACTTCCGCTGCGTGGGGCAAGAACGGACGCGCTGCATTCTGGCGAGAGCTCCCAAAAAGTTGCAAAGGTTCGCTTGTGCAGTTCAGGGTTTAGGGTTGAAGTAGAATCGCTAACTTGCACCCTAGATAAGCATTTAGCCTCTAAGTGTTAATTCTTTGTCGAGTGTGGTGCAGTTCTTATTGGCTTCTTGTGTCCCTGAAGACCAGGAACTCCAACCTTTATCCGGACTCAGAATCCTTGTCCGAAGCCCCCGAGGCCTGAATCTTTTTTTCCGTATGATCCTCATGTAGTATACAATAGACAATAGCATAAATTGTTGTCCCCAAAACCTTTAAATTTTGTAAACTTCTAAGACCCTAAACCCAAAACAAACCTCAACATTCTGCGTAAACCCTAAGCCCTAAACCCTAAACCCTAAATCCTAAACCCTAAAAACCCTAAACCCTAAATCCTAAACCCTAAACCCTAAACCCTCAAGCATAACCGGGTCGCATCATGAAGCTCTCAGATCCCAGAAGCCCTCGAACGATCCGATTTCGGGTTTGCAGGCTGATTAGGGTTTAGGGTTTAGGGTTTAGGGGTTTAGGGTTTAGGGGTTTAGGGTTTAGGGTTTAGGGTTGGGGAGTCTAGAGTTGTGGCTTTAACTGGTGATGGACAAAATCCTGCATGACCTGAAGGACCCTCAACGATGGGAACTATGGTATATTCCTTATCACGGGTAATGCATGATTCTGTCCATCAACAGAATGGATCCCAGAACAAATCTGATCAGAGGTTTCAAAACAGCATCTTCAACATAGATGGCAAAACACCGCCCGAACACAGATGCCAAAACAACACCCTAAACATAGATCCCGAAACCAGGCCCTAAGCCGCTCACACTCTAAACTTCCGGCTCCCAATTATGGTGCCACCAGTCTTCTTATTCTGAAACAACTTACGCCGATCCTCCAGGTCAAGCCTTTTTTATGATCCTGTTCTCTACTACTTAAGGATCAATAATTATGGTTATAAGTACGTACTTTAACGAGGGTCATACTACCTTCATTAGGGCTATGTGCAGTTCTAATAGGTATATTGTTCTCATCTATGACCCTACAGTTACTAAGTTCCAAGATCCTTGAAGTAGAGATGAAGGGCAGCTGCATGCGGGAGGCTACCTCCGGGGCGACCTCCAGCGAAGTTCATCCAGGACGCTGCCGTTTTGGGGATTCCATTCTTCGGAGATTAGCCCGAGGCTCTCGGATTCCACCTATAGTCTCTGTTGTACCTCCTTTTGGGGGTTACGTTATAGGGAGACTATAGGCAAAGCACGGCTAAGGTTCTAGAGGGGCAGCCAGGCAAGGAGAGACAATGAGAAAGACGCGGAGCGAGAAACAGCGAGCTCCCATCTTAAGTAATTGTTATATGATTGTATTTTAACCATCTCAACACTAATTAACACCGTACATATATCATCTCTATAATAATGTATGTATGTACGTATGTATGTATGTATGTATGTATGTATGTATATTATGTCTGTTTAGGAACTCTCATTGAACCCCAAACCCTCAACCCATGCTAGCGGACGCTGTGTCTTCAGATGTTGCATCAAGACTCTACCCTGCCGTTACCTTCAAAACCCGAAACCCGAAACTAGAAAACACACTGTTTGGGATTTAGGGTTAAGGACGGAAATTGGCGGAGCCTCAACAACTATTGTTTTCAATTTGAATTATCCTCCATATTCAACCAAAGGTCTCTTGGGCCAACTTTCTGGGCACATCGGCCCGCATGACACCGTAGCAGCTGTACGAAGCCCTTGTGACACTCTTGCAACACCCTTGTCGAACCTGCATGACACCTCCGCAACCCTACAAAAACCGCGTGTAAAGAAACACTGGTAGAGACCTTATGAGACTCTTCCAGCACCCTTGTGGAAGCCCTTGGAAGCCTTTATACAAGCCTTATGAACCCTGAAGCCCTGACAAAGTCTCGCATACAACCCAACAAAAGACCCTCAGAAAATCCCGGCTTCTGCTGCCCTAAACCCTAAACCCTAAACCCTAAACCGGAAGGAGACGCAGAGGGATCCAGCTCCCATCCGGCAGCTCTGATGCAGCTGTTTATGAAGGGTTTCATATTTGGGGCCGTTTCGGGGTATAGTCTAGCATAGTTTAGGTATGATAGGAACCCTAGGGAATAGTATTTAGAAAATATTTTGGCCTCTACATGATGTAAAAGGTTCCTTCGGGGGCTCCTTGAAGGGCTCCACAGTGTTTATGCAGGCTTTGCAACGACGGGCCCTGGAGCAAGACGTGCTAATCCTGATCTAGGTTTCAGAAGCCTCTTGCAGATCACTCTTTTGACACACTTGTGCAGGAAAGAGCTACCCGTGCGGCCAAGAAAGTCTTTGGCACAGCACCGCTGAACTGCTGTCACCTCCACACTTATTCAAGCTAAACTACATTGAACCTTCCAAAGGCGTTTAGGGTTCAAAAACCCTAAACTTATTTAAGCGAAGACTTTATACGGCGGGTCGAACTGATGACCACCCAGGCTCTCACTGCCTGCCTGGCAAAGCATGTCACGCTTTGCAGAGCATGCTTTGTTGGATACTTCCATGCAGGATTTGCGGCAGTTCAGGCAGGGTGTAACTTCTGCAAAGTAAGAGGGTCTGAAGGTTTGCCATATTCAGGGAATTAGGGGTTCAGATGGCAGGGTG